CCGTGTTTTCTATCACTCGGTCATGGCCAATACTGTACATCTGTAATAAGTAAACATATAAGAATCCGCTTAGTACGACGTATGACGCCGCTTATAACGATCGACCGCTTGTAGCGACATATTTTTGATTTGTTTGGTTGATTTGTTGAAAAATAACGTAAAAAAATACTTCTTTAGTACGGTCCGGATAATACGACGTAATATCGGTCCCTTGAGCGTGGTTATAGTCGGATTCTACTGTATTTATAATGAGTAACACCCGTATTCACAAACGATGCTTGCTTAAGTGAAGCAGCAAATCGAACGCACAACGTTGAATAGAGTTCTGTGATTGGTTCGCGCGTGACCCTGTGCGTCCACGCGCACTTTGAGACCTCATAGTAACGTTTGTGAATACGGGCGTAAGTATACGAGTGCCTCTATACGGGATATTCATTATTTAGGTCACTGTACACCCGACTCCACAATAGTCCAGCGGCGGGGTTCGAACCCGAGTTTCTCGGATCTCGCGTTGGCCACTACGACACCTTCATTGGGCTACAAACAAGCTTGAAAACAAAAAAAAAATAGGGTCGTAGCCGTCGTAGGCCCTTGATTCGGTGCCGTCCGAATCAATTTACGTAACTGAAGATTTCAAAATATCAGAGACACAATACGAAATAACAATCGTCAAGGCAAAGAAAAGTTTCAGCGCTTTTCTTTTAGTTTACGCATTTTATTAATACTTTCAGTTTATTAGTGTTTTTTTTTTATCACAATATGAATGAAAGTTCACCTTATTTTAATATTAGGTACTAAATAAAAGTCCTCTAAAGTAGCGTAGTTAGGTATTTTGTTTGAAGAGTGAAACTTATGTAAGATTCGACTGAAAAAACATCGTTTATCATTTCAGCTGATAGCTGAAGAGGTGACGAATGACAGTGATGGGTTTGTTTACCAACAAACACCTTCAAACTATTTATGAATGTTTTTATTGAAACATTATCTAGGTATATTTTATGTGTGAGGATAACTTAAAAGTAATTGAAATACCTATAATACCTTCAACCAGATGCCTAATAAAATAGGTAACTAAATGCTAAGCACAGTTAACGTTGACAAAAAATTAAGAAATTTATTTTTAAAGCAGTAAGTACCTACTTAAGTAGTAGGTAAATTGTATTAACATTTACCTACCCAGCACATTGTCATGTACCTACCTACTCGATTTTCTTTTGTTTTTCCAGCATGAATAATGTGAATTCTTTCAAAACAAACAAGTATTATTCAATTATTAATCACATTGCATCAGATAACGTTGTTTACAAAATATTTTCCTGAAAAACGTCACCTGTTCAATAGAAAAGTAATAGCTATTGTTCAATGGAAATCAGCCGTATCTGGACACGAAATTTATCAAGAAATAAGCAAAATAAACAAGTCTGCCATGCTAATAGTTGGTAAATAGTAAATACCTAGTTACCTACTTATGTAAAAACTTTATCATCCATCCGCGAGATACGCTGCGACCTTGGTTTTAAGTAATGCGTAGTATACGAATAGGTATTTACGAGAGTGCTAACTACGATTTAGTAAACAATAAGTTTAAAAAACAGAAAATTTGTACATTCAGTAGTTTTTGTTATCACCGTTTTATTTATCTACAATTTAACAATGTGTTCTATACACGTCTTTTTACTCAAACAATAAGCGTAGGTGTTTTTATAAATTAACTTGATTAGTTGTAAATAATCTTCTTAAGTTCGTTCATATTCGCATGGAATATTACTCAGTAAAAGTTCAGCTGTTATCCGTACCTATCGGCGATATTTTTAATCAAAGTAAATAATAATCACGTTACAAAAGTGTGACCTGAATATATACGGAAACTTGTAAATCACTGATAACATGATAACATAAGTATTTACTTTAGCTCTGAACTAAATCTTTTTACTTACTTATCGGCTTGTTAGACAAGCATAAATTAGGTAACAGGTGTATAAATAAACTAGGCGTACAGTGTAGATACCTACTGTCCATACTGTATCATCATCATCATCTCAGCCATAGGACGTCCAACGCTGAACATAGGCCTCCCCCAATGCTTTCCATGTTGCATGGTTGGTAGACTAGCGGCGCACTGGACTGGTCGTGCTACCTTTACGATAGTACTTTAAGATGTGGGTGGACCACTCCAGAACCTTGCTGCCTCATCGGCCGTCAGTTCTGCGTACTATGTGCCCTGCCCATTGCCACTTCAGGTTGCTAATCCGTCGGGCTATGTCAGCGACTTCAGTTGGTTTACGGATCTCCCAGATCCCTTAGTAAGATATATCCTTAGTGCCATATATCTTCTGAAAAAACACAACCACAGTTCGGTAACTATGATCTGCAGTGACAAGATACTCAGCACGTAGGCCCAGCTATTTTTAAGCAAGTCAGTCACCCGCGGTGCGTGCACGCATATTTTCAGATCTGTAAGCGTACGTGCATGCACGCACTGTAGCCGAGTGTTATATAAAGAGTACATACGAGCAAGGTAAATAGATGGTAAAGAATCACAAGGATATGATGAAATTTTGAAACTTAAAGATAGGTATTTAATAGGAAAAGTTCGGAAGCATTGAACTCTACATAATTTTAGACAGTTTCATAAATAGATGGTAGACAATCGCAAGGAAATCCTGAATTTTGAAATTTTAAAGATATTAGGAAGGGTTCGGAAACATTGGATTCTCTAAAGTTTGTACAATTTGAATGTTATCTAATAATCTTAGCTTACCAAAATTACTGGTTAAACCACATTGAAACTGTAAACTTTAAACTACAAAAATACTCGTACAAGAACACATAATGATAAGAACCTAAATTCGTTCAAATAACATTTTTATAGGAAAGTTTTTTCCCAAGATAAAATAGTTTTATATTAATCCAAGACGTAATCTCAGTCCAATTATCAAAATTCTTGCACCAGTTGATACGTGAAAGTATGGAAATCTCTTAGGTTTTATTACGAACGAACTAAGCGATTATGTAGGTATGTACTAAGTAGTTATCTATTGTATCAATTTACAGTGTTTAATTTAATCTTGAAAATGGTTCGATTTTTTATTAACCTTCATTTGTCATTTACTGGAAGTAGTAGGTAGTTCTTGGGAACAAAATAATTATTCCATACGTCTTTTGTTACTTGTTACTCTTTCACGAAAAAACTACTGGTCAGAATGTTATTAAACTTTGCAGTAAATAATTTTAAACTTTCGCGTTGCATACTTACAGTACTAAGCACGTGGGCGAAACCGCGGGAAAGCAATATACTTTCAAAAAAGAATAGTAAGACCAAGGTCAACATGAACCAAGCTCTTTATATGCCTACCCCTATGCCTTTTCTCTATGAATAATTTACAGAAAGAATGCTCATTTACCCACTGCATGCTCGTGCCATGATGAGCTCATGCGATGAGTCATGGGCGCCAAACAAAGATTTCAGCGAGCCAACCATTTGAACCAATATTTGCACCACAGAATACTAGTAGACTAAAAGGCGATTGTGAGTACAAAACAAATGAATTATTTAATTTATCATGAGCATTGTCAAGGAAACTATTTTGCCCAGACGCATTAAGTTTTTAAATTTCTATTTGCACACAGTAATAAAATTTTTTGTTAGTATGTAATTTGAAGAAGGTACGAGTAAGTCATTTTCATTTTCATGTTTAGTTATCTACGCTGTGAGTGAGAGAGATCGATGATGCTCTTCATCATCATTAGGATAGGACATTCACTGTACTTATAAATCATAAGTCAGCGTCAAATAATTCGTGACACCGAAAGTATTCAGTAAGTCCGCAATAAACTTTTGCCCACTTTGGGTGTCACGAACTTTTTGGCCACTTTGGGTGTCACGAACTTTTTGGCCACTTTGGGTGTCACGAACTTTTTGGCCACTTTGGGTGTCACGAACTTTTTGCCCACTTTGGGTGTCACGAACTTTTTGCCCACTTTGGGTGTCATGAACTTTTTGCCCACTTTGGTTGTCACAAACTATTTGGCCACTTTGGGTGTCACGAACTTTTTGGCCACTTTGGGTGTCACAAACTTTTTGGCCACTTTGGGTGTCACAATCTTTTTGACGCTGACTGTACCTTGTTGATAGTAAAAAAACAATGGTTTAATTGAATGATCAAACGAACTTACCAAGTGAAGTTCGATCTAAATTATCCTGTTTTCGCCGAAGAGATTTATTTTACCATGTAGTACCCCTGTACGACAACCCAATCCGCACACAATATTCAGCGTAGTAGTATTAAAAAACAAAAGAGCGGGCAACCCCACCCCTACCACGCTGTGGGCTCGGTGTCCGAGCGGTCTCATTATATTTAGAGAAGAGATGACATTGACGTTTACCTCCAGGGAAGAAGATATAGAAATCTTCGGGTTGGGAGGGACCTTAAATCTCTTCGGCGAAAACAGGATAATTTAGATCGAACTTCACTTGGTAAGTTCGTTTGATCATTCAATAGAATGGCTACTGGGTAACATCTCGCATTACCTCGGAGCAAAAAAATGGCTACTGGTTAACATCGCGCGTTAACTTGGAGCTAAAAATGGGTCAAAGTTACGCGTCGTGTCACAACGCTTATAATAAAAATGTACGAGCACTTGCACAAAATAGTTGTTACAACCAACCTTTTGTTGGGTCTAATTCTCGTCACTACACTGCACAACTTAAAATAATTACGTTTTTTGTCGGTAAAAACGTCCTGGTGACGTCACTTAAGCATTTTTCTTATACTGCGTGCGGTCGTTGCGCGTGCGCACAAAGGAATGAGACCGCTCGGACACCGAGCCCACAGCGTGGTAGGGGTGGGGTTGCCCGCTCTTTTGTTTTTTAATACTACTACGCTGAATATTGTGTGCGGATTGGGTTGTCGTACAGGGGTACTACATGGTAAAATAAATCTCGGAGGCGAAAGCAGGATAATAATTATTATTTAGGTTTATTGTGTGTTTTAAGTACATTGATATGTTGCTTCAAAATATTGACTTAGATTAAATTGTACAGAGTGTAACGTGGAGACTGTGAAACATCACTTTTACAAGTCCTAGTTACAATAAGAAAACAGTATATTAATTATTTACTATTTGTGACATAATATAAAATCAGGAAACTTAAGGATCGTTACTACTTTGTACTAAAATTGACAAATTTATGTAGGTACTACTAATAACATAAGTAAATATTGCTTTTAAATTGCTGATAATGCATTAATATACGTAATCACATTATTATACGTTTAGTTTGATATTAAGACGCAACAAACTCATACAATGAAAGTATTTTCTTAATACACATAAAATTAATCTCTTGTATTCACGTGTGCTATAAATAAATAAATGCTAGCACGTGCTATCGGCAACAGTGTTAACTACCCATTGCCGGTCATGTCGTCTCGTTCTATCGCAAAGAATTATTTGATGAGAGCGAGAGCAAAAACGGAAATGGATAGTTAACAGTGTGGCCGTATGTACGTTGGACCTAATTTCTAAGGTTTAACTATCTCTTTAAAATGTCTACTATCTTTTTCTTTCCTTTGATAATAAAAAGAGGCAGTGCACTGCCTAACTTAATATCATATTAATTTGTTATTTTAATGTTACATCTCTTTGAAAAATAACAAAATTATCGCCAATATCAGCAAAACCTAGTAAAAACTGTGTTGTGTTAGAGATAGTTAAAATCTTAGAACCAAATCTATTTAAAATTTTAACATAAATCTCAACATAATATGGCAAAAAAATTAATACTTAAAACCAGTCTCTCATATTCACAAAACGTTAAACATACTTATTTTCATTATTATTATTACAGTTAATATAATAATAGAAATCAGGTCAGATGAGATCACTTACAATAATAATATACATTAAAGCTTAAAATGTAAAATATAAAGTTTAAATTAAATAAATAATCGAGATCCAAGCAGGTCACAGGAAAATTGTTAATAATACTTGTCATTTTGAATTATTAAGTTTACTTCAATAAAGATACGTTGTGTATAGTCGTCAGAACATCAGGTAATACATTTTTGTTGCAATATCACCCCTATTGCAACAACAATAAGAAGCCAGCCTCGTGTTTACCATGATGTACCGTCTTCATTATATTAGATTATTCTTGTCAAAGAAAGCAAACTAAAATAACATTTAAATATATCAGTTCAGAGTTCAAATTGTATAATAAATATGAGAAATTAGAGGCGTAAACTTATCACAATATTATAAAGCGTGCTTACCATTACCGTAAGTCGCACACGCGTCCTTAAAGTTGCTCACGTTGAATACCGCGAAGTAATCGTCGTGAATGAACCGAACTATACTCTCTATTGGACACAAATATGTGTTATACGTCTTCATATCATCCACCGGGTCAACCACCTTCATGACGACATTCTGCCGGGACTTACAAAAACTCAACTTCCCAGTCACATCCTCACCATTATACACAACTCGGAAGAAAAAGTCTTGAGCCACCGCTTTCCGTTTCGTAAACTTAAACTCGTCCCTCAAATCCTTCTTTCTGTACACCTCGAATATCATCCTCGAAGCATACTGGATATTGTAATGCTGGTAATTGTTCAGCCCCAAAGCTAAAATCAGAGCCTGCAACGTCTTATCGTGGCCAGAATATATCACAAACTTCGGCTTGTTTTCTGAGATCATCCGTATCATATTCTGCACTATGTTGTGTATCAAACCGTACGCGACCAGCAAACCTCGTCTCCTATTGTGCATGTTTTTAATCTCCTGTCTGTAACTCCATTCTAAGTACGCAAATAGCGACATAACGTGTTCCTTTCCTATGCAAAAGTCCTCAGTATTCTCTGGGGTGGGTTCCTTGTAATCTTCGTCGAAGTCCGTGTCAATTCGTGCATCGTTCGGGAAATTGAAATCCGCGTCCAAGTTTTTCTTGACGATCACAACGTCGTCGTACGTATCGGCGTTATCCATGTACCTTTGCTGGTAATATAGCAGCTTTTCTCTTTCCATCTGAGCGTCGAAGTCTAAAGGCGCCTTCTTGTCTTTGCTGTCGTAGTATTTTCCGATGATATCTCTCGCCTTTCGGCCGATTTCGTTGTTGAAATCGAGCTGGTTGTTGATGTAGTCGAGTTCCATGTTCAAGGTATCAATGTCGACGTCGAGAAGGCTTCTTAGGGCGACGCTATCGCCTCTGAATCTCCTTTGGTGTTTGTGCACTCTGGGTTTCGGTTTCTTGGTCTTCTCCGAGCAGGGCAGCGGCGCGTCGTGGCACATGTAAGCCAGTAGGGCGTCTCTGACGACGTCCGGGTCGCTGTGTTCTTGGGACTCGAATAGCACTCGAGACAGCTTTGCGACTAGATCCTTGATGGCTGGGTGGGATTCGAGTCGGTTTTTCGATTGGCTGTTGATTTTCCTGGAAAGAACAGTTTCATTTTATTGGTAATTTTAAGTACTATTAGTTTAATCGGACGGTTAAGTAATCAGGCATTTTATTTTTTATCAAATAGAGATTGGGGAAAACATTTAAAAAGTGCCGAGATCGATGACATCTGCAGGGAATTCCACTCCTCGTCAAAGTCAAAAGATCAAATGATAAAGTCAAAAATGTCTGTGCATCTTGTTTAGACTATTTTATCGTGTTTACAATCGTCGTGTCAACGATAAAGACTATTTTTTAAAGGTGAAGTGGCACTTTTATCATTTAGTATGTAATATTTTGCTCTATCAATGCATCGACACAATTTGCAAACTCACTGTGCGCATTGTACACAAAGTGGCAAATTAAATATCAGCTCGTTCAAGGCGCGCGGGCGCCTGACGTGTTTCTGTATCGAAAAAAATTTTATGAGTAGCGCAGTGTACCCGCGCAAGTTTAAGCGCCTTACAGATGAAATCGGGACTTCAACAAAAGGAGGAGGTCCTCAATTCGGTGAATATGTTTAGTCAGGGTCGAGTAAGTAACTAAAAAGTAACAGGAGTAACGAATAAGCACTGACTTATTGAGCGCGTTGTGAGCTGCGCAAGCGCAGTCCCTGTAGCAGAAGGCCACCACAGAGCCACTGGGATGACAGGCATTAAGATAGAACACATAATATTACCTTTCATTTGACACCCATGTCTTGTACGAAGGCCGCCATTTTGATGATGTCATGTTTTCAGACTCGCGAAAGTTTAAAGTTGTCATTACATATTTGATGTTTGACAACATACTAAAATTTGGTGCTGGTATCGGGCCTTTCTCACCCTAAGCAAGCGTATTATTTATACTACGTATGTGTCACCAACCGTTAAGCGCATGATGAGCTGCGCAGGCGCAGTCCCTGAAGCAGAAGGCCACGCTGAGCGCCTCCCGCGCCGAAATACAACGGCCGCCATTTAGATAACGTCATATTTTCAGACTCGCAAAGGTTTTGTACTGGTACCGGGCCTTTTTCGCCCTAAGCAAGCGTATTATGTATACTACGTGACTGTCACCAACTTGTTAAGCGCATAGTGCGCTGCGCAAGCGCAGTCCCTGAAGCAGAAGGCCACGCTGTGCGCCTCCCGCGCCGCCGCCGCGCGCGCGCCCGCCGCGCCGCCGCCCGCGCCCCACCACAGACTACTAGAGATGACGCGTCATAGCATTAAGGTAGAAGACTCATTACTTACTCATCTCAGGCGCGCAGTTAGCGCCGGGCAGCTGTGACGTCACATCGATGCTCTGGCATAGACGCGCGCGCGTGAACCCGCACCCTTCATAGAGCCACAAGGATGATGCGTCATGGCATTCGTTTGGTATGTAGGGTATGATTCGTAATTTTTTAAATACGACCGCCGCCATTTTGATGACGTCATATTATTTCCCTGAAGTTCCTAGACTTAGGGCCTAGGCTAAAATTCACGGGGACACCCGCACGCGTGTCTCTGTAGAAATTTTTTATGAGCAGCGCAGAATGACGCGGACGCGTGAGATGGGTTCCCACACGCGCGGCGTTGGGCAGGTTCTCTGTGCACCTTTTAGCGTAGTCTCTTACAGCTGAAACCGCGACAGTTTTTAAGTTTAAACAGGAGATATTAAGCACTGACTAGTTAAGCGCGTGGTGCGCTGCGCAAGCGCAGTCCCTGAAGCAGAAGGCCACGCTGTGCGCCTCCCGCGCCGCCGCCCGCGCCCCACCATAAAGCTACTAGAGATGACGCGTCATAGCATCAAGGTAGAAGACTCATTACTCACTCATCTCAGGCACGCAGTTAGCGCCTAGCAGCTGTGACGTCACGTCCCGCGCCCCACCACAGAGCCACTAGAGATGATGCGTCATGGCACAAGGTGCCTAGCAGCTGTGACGTCACATCGACGCTCTGACATAGACGGGGCGAACTCAGAAGGCGTGCGGATAGGTCGAAGCTACCCATCCTTATCGCTCGCGCGTAATTATATTGCCGTCGCGACTGTGCGACGGGCGCCCGCAGTGAGTGTGCGAGCGCGATAGCAACATAATTACGCGCGAGCGATAAGGATGGGTAGCTTGGGGTCATTGGACAAAATTCTACGTGCTCACGGATCCGGCTTTAGAGTATATGGAAGCGTCACCAACTTGTTAAGCGCATGATGCGCTGCGCAAGCGCAGTCCCTGAAGCAGAAGGCCACGCTGTGCGCCTCCCGCGCCGCCGCCGCGCGCGCGCCCGCCGCGCCACCGCCCGCGCCCCACCATAAAGCTACTAGAGACTGAAACGTGCGCCGGTAGCGCGTGCTGTATGACACCACTTCGCCTGTAATAATAATAATAATCTATACTTATAATAAATCTGTAGAGAGGTCAATTCTGTACATTAAGTATATTTTCAAAATAACTATCAGGGGGTGATTAGTGATCGATACTGATGCCAAAAATGCAATCAGTAAAATTTTTGTCTGTCTGTCTGTCTGTCTGTCTGTATGTTCCTTATAGAAACAAAAACTACTAAACGGATTTTAACGAAACTTGGTACAATTATTCTTCATACTCCTGGGCAGGTTATAGTATACTTAGGAATTCCCACGGGAATAGGAATTAGCGGGAAAATCCTTTTGTATGAAAAATCTAAACCGCTTAAGTTAGACGCTTGAAATTTGGCATGCAGGTACCTTAGTAAACTTAAAGCTTAGTTACAAAAGGACATTGCAAAATTCCCACGGGAACGGGAGTTAGCGGGAAAAAACATTTGTATGAAAAAATCTAAACCGCGTAAGATAGATAAAACGGGATCCACGCGTACGAAGTCGCGGGCGGCCGCTAGTAAAATAATAAAAAGCCTATTTATTTTCCTATAGGTATCTGACAAAACATTGTTTTATAGTTTCTTATTTCTAGATAAGTAATAATTTTATAATTAATTCTATGTTAGTTTACTTATAATATAATGTGTCTATAGGAACCCCTTTTAGGGTATAGGCCTCCTCCAAGTCCTTCCATTTCTCTCTATTCTGTGCTAGTTTTATCCAGTCCTTCCCAGCCGTCTCTTCTATGTCGTCCATCCATCGTTTTTGTGGTCTACCCACGTTTCTTTTCCCCGGTGAGCCGGGCCAATTCGTGCTCTTGAGACTACCTACTCCTATTTTGCCTGTAATACCAATACCAAAAAACCGAAAAATCTTTATTTGTTTGGTACAAATCGTCATAAGGAGCCTTTATATATGTCTCTTTATTTTTACGAGAAGGGCCCCGATTACGCTAAAAATTTTCATCTTCAACGTGCCCGGAATGTGCCCGGACGACGAACGAACATCAGCTGTTTTGACAAATCCGTATCACGGTGTCGTTTTGACAGATAGTTGAAACGAAGCACAGACGTAAACGTAATACTAAATATCTCATATGACAATGAAAATAGTAGGAAGGTACGTCCATTACCGTGATACCGAATTTGCACTTCAGCTGGAATGAAAAACGGAGCGCAACTGGAGAAGAAGCGCGTATGTATTGGAGACGTGAAATTAGCGTAATCAGGGCACAGTGCTTCGTGACAAACATTAGGCAAGTTCTGAGGAAGCGCCGCAACCAACTCAGCCACTATTGTATTTATCGTCGAATATATCGAAATTATCGTTTTATCAAGACACATCACTGACGCACATTAAGTCTTATTTACATACCTTTAGTAATGTTATTAATGCAAAAGTAACCTTTAACCTTTCACGCCAAAACCAATGAGGTAATTAATTATATTTTGCTTTTGGTTTTGCACATGTAAATAGGACTGAGAAGAACATAGACTACCTTCGGTTATTAAACCAAATTGAAATAAATAAAATCTACCTGTATCTTTTTTTCCTTGAGGGTCCACCACATCCAAATTCAATTTATCACCATATGCTTCTCTCAAAATGGTACCTGAAAGTTGAACACACAATGATCAACGTTTTTTTACCAAACCAGAAGTTACTGTTTACTCAAAACTGAACCTTATGCTTACCAACAGTCAGCATCTGTAGCAACCCTCGGGGTGTGAGCTGGCCTAAAGCGCAGTGGGTGCCCGAAGCTCTCGGAGGCAGCGACGGGAAGTTGTGGAACGGGCCGGGACCCGACACCCACCACGCGCGCCCTGAACCACTCGCGTTCACCACGAACTCCTCATAACTGGAATAAGGATAATTCTATAATATAAAAAACGCCTGGTTCGTTGAAGTCAAAGGATGGTTTTTACGGCGAGAAAAAACCGAATAATTTCCGAGCAAAATTCAACCCCTAAGAGCCAAGGGGGTAAAACGGGGCCCACGCGTACAAAGTCGCAGGTGGCCGCTAGTCTATAATATAAAAATGAATCGCAAAATGTGTTTGTAAGCGCATAACTCAACAACTCATAGACCAATTTTACCAATATTTTTTAAAATGTTCATTGAAGTACAAAGATATTTTATGGCGAGAAAAATTCGAATAATTGCTGGGAAAACCTCGGGCGAAGCCGCGGGCGGGAAGCTTATAATAAATAATGTCATGCGCGCATATAGGAGACGGGCCAAGTAAGCCGGGCCCACAAAGGTCAGGGGCCAAGCCCCCCTTAAAAATAACTATAGATACACCAATGAATAAAGTTTATAACCGGGGGCTATGGCACCCCAGAATGTTCTGGTCTGGTGCCCCCCAGGATTTTTGGGTTACCGATTCAAAGATGAATGATGTTAGTACAAATCAATCGCAATCGCACCCCCACCCCCCCCCCATCATGACAGTCCTTACTCCTTTGAGTACTAATCTGCGCGACTGTTGTCACCCCCTGATGCTTGGCACCCGGGGCGGACCGCCCCCACCGCCCCCCCTTACGCCGCTACTGACAACTAGACAACTAAGATTGTGGGAGACTTGGTGTCTAATGTAGGCAATGTATCCCTGTGTCTTAGAGCACAGGCCTCCACCCTTGGTATTATTATTAACATCATCATCACAAGCAGATGACCAGGTCATTTAGTCTACTGCAGAAAGACCTTTACCAGAAGCGAATGAAGTATTTTTCCTGCACTCTGCATCAAAACTATTATAGTCTAATGGGCAAAGCAAATAACTAACATTTCTGCAGAGGTAGAGTTTATTATTATTCTGTCTAATGGCTTCAATAGTGCGAATTTGAAGCACACTGGTTTTGCCAATGTCGAGTGTTTAGAGAGACACGGTGGACAGTGGAATTTGAAGGTTGCCCGGTGATAATTTAATTAATTTATTCTTCAATGACCTTTTTACCACCTAAAACAATTATTAAGACGTAGAGTTGTGCAGAAGTGATATGTGACATAACAGAGCTGTCAAGGTAGACATGCCTCCTCCATATTCCCCTCCCATGTAGCTACAGTTACATGCTATCTGTAAGCTATTCAGATATTGTTTTATAAAATGGTTAGTAGTTTTGTAGAAACAGCTTGATCTTGTCATCTTGAAGCATCAAAATATTATCAAGTACCAAAATTATATTAGTAGGTTTCAATGGATGCTAAATAAGTACGAAAAAACATAGCAACATCTGTTTAAAACAAGAAGTGATCCCGTCATCTTGACTTTCATAAAAAACAAAAATGTTTAATTAACCTTTTTAGAAGTGGTGAGACAGGAGGAATGTCACAGGGCAACTTATCGCCGCCTTTGAGGTGAGTGAGAGGCCCACGGTCACCGTGACGAGTCACCACCAATACACCCTGCAGGAACCAAGTGTCACTGTCAACCAAACCTGCAACATAGTAGATGTCACAGACAGAGGCGGGGCAAGACCTAAATTTGATGTGGGCAAGACAGATTTCGCGAGGCCTTGTTCTGTGGCGACCTGAAGACGGATTTTATGAAATAATAAAAAAAAGTGAACGTCAGAATGGCGGGTGTATGGTCACAGAATTGAATAATATAAATATAAATTTTTAATACCTGAGATGTACCTTGGTGTACCTTTAGTTATTAATTGTGTACCTCCCTAAAACGGGAACAATTACAATTACAAAATGAGCCGCCAACCTGATATCAGGTTGGCGGGTGTATGTTGAAATTGGACGAAACAGGTAAGTTATGGTTTTCTTATATTTATCATTATTTAGTACCTCAGATGTACCTCACAAATATATTATTATAAACCAAATGCGACGAATAATTACCGAGAAAATCGATACGAAAAATTTGATGTCCACCATTTTTTTGATGGCCACCATTTCTTAAAACAAGTTAGAAAGTTGATACTGACACAGATAATACATACCGTAGTATTTTTTAAGTCTGTTTTTTATAGCACGCACACTTTTTGCATTTGCCAATGCCATTAATTTGCTAAAATCAAAAAGTTAGTATTGATAGTAGCGCCCTCCTGTAAATGTCATAAATAAGGTTGTCCAACGTGCCAACAATCGGAACTAGTAATCGGGACATAGTCTTCTTCTTCTAATATTATTTTTTTCTTCTTTTCATCTCTTCTTCTTCATCTTCTATTCTTCTTCTCATCTTCTTCTGTTTCTTCCTCTTCTTCTTCGACTCTTTATCTTCTCACGTTCGTCTTCTTATTATTATCTTTTTATTTTTTTGCCTTATATCTTTTTATTATTTTCTCATCTTTTTATTTTTTCGTCTTATTTCTTCTTATTTTACAAATCAGAGAAACAGAAGAAGGACAGGAGAGGAAAAAAAGAAGAGAATATTTGAAGAAGAGGAAGACGATGTCTCGATTATTAGTTCCGATTGTTGCCACGTTGGACAACCTTATTTATGACATTTACAGGAGGGCGCTACACTATCAATNACAACAAAAAAACCAGTACATACAATAAAAGACGATAAAAAAAAAAAAAAAAAAAAAAAAAAAAAAAAAAAAAAAAAAAAAAAAAAAAAAAAAAAAAAAAAAAAAAAAAAAAAAAAAAAAAAAAAAAAAAAAAAAAAAAAAAAAAAAAAAAAAAAAAAAAAAAAAAAAAAAAAAAAAAAAAAAAAAAAAAAAGACAACGCGATCTGCAATCCTTAAATCAAAAAACAAAAAAAAAAACGCGATATTCTCCTATTTATATAATATATATAAGATAATAAATAAATAAGGTAAAATATACATTACATACATAAATAAATACTGTACATAAATAAATAAATATAGGGATCAAAATGTAGCCATCAAAAACAAAGCAGCTACGATATATGGACAATTATCATACCTACAACAAAAAGCTGTTACGATGGTTACTGAACATACGCACACAAATACCATGTCTGTTAAAAAAAAAAAAAGTTACTGTGTAGTGCTTCTGAACAGTTTTGTGTGGTAAGGCTCAAAGCACGAAAAAACGCAAAGCGCTTTTTCGCACCCGTTGCAGTACGATGTGACGCGCTTGCCACATTCCGCGCAGTTCCGCCGGTGGCGGTGGCTGGAGGTTTCCAACGCGGTGTACTGCTTCGGGTAGTGCTTTAAGCCTTGTGTGTTACTGTCTGTTTCACGGTGGTGTGTAATGATGGGCGTAGGCCTGGGTTGTGGAGAGTGCCGTGACAACAACTCCTTCACCAAAGTTTTGCGAAAACTTCGGTGAGTAGTTGATTGCTGGGATTTGTAAAGTATGTAGGCATTTAATGTGCTCACATTCAGCAACCGCCGGAACAACTTCTTGTACCACACGGAAGTACGCTTCCTTTCAATGGGATACATCGCCAGCATTTGATCTTTACGATCAACGCCCCCCATACACAGATTATAATCTGCGATGACGGTCGGTTTCAGGGTGGCGCCACACTTCACGGTAGCTAACCCATGGTATGTCGAGGTAAGAGCCACACGGTTCTTATCTCGCCATACAATGAGATCAACGTCCCCTGAGGTACAGCCACACACCTGACCGACAGCCATGTTGCCCTTTGAAAGGTGCATCAGTTCCGTGGGAACGAACTGGCGGTTCGTGCGTAGCGTCCCCACGCAGTCGAACCCACGGCACTTTAACTCCCGGGATAGTGCAGGAGAATTATAATAATTATCCATCCATACCGTATGGCCTCGGTGCTCGAGACCCTCCAGTAGCCTCAAAACTATTGAGGGTATGATCCCAGAGACTGGGGACGCTTGAGCATTTGAGGCTTCTTCGTGACCCGAATACACCTCAAAACGCCACAAGTATCCGGTCTTGGACTCACACAGCTCAAAAGTTTTGATGCCGACTGCCGCTGCCTTATTTTTGATAAACTGGTTGATGTCCAACCACCCCTTCCACATCGTCAGACTCTCATCCAGTGCCACATTTCGATCCAAATTATATAAATGGGAGAATTTAATATTTAAATGGTCAATGATCGGCTGGATTTTAAATAACTTAGCTTGAGCTCTAGTAAGCTCACCAGGATTGCAAATCGCGTTGTCTTGGAAGTGGAGACACCTACTCAACAACAAGAAGCGATCACAATTCATCGCTGTCGAGAACTCAGGGGTACTGAAAATGTCACGAGAACAATTCCAGTACTCCTCAATACGTGATTTCACCACAATCCCCATTGCTAGGGTTATGGCGAAATACACGTACAGTTCCTCGACAGACGTGTCCACCCACTTTGTAATCCTACTGCTAGGACACATAGTGTTGGACTGAATCATCATCGCCGCTAGCTGTTGAGCGTATAGGTTTGTCTCCACAACAATGTGCTCCATAATTTGCCGATCCCAAATGGCTACAAAAGCATCATATGGGGTGGCATACGGAGTAGTGGGTCCACAATTAATGTCGGAGAACGATTCCCTCCTCAACTCAGGTGCGATTTGAGGTTGAGTGAATGCTCTCCACTGGAAGTCAAACTTATCTAGGTTAGCCGTCGCCGACGGCACCTCCGGCTCCGGAACTGGGGGCTCCGCGACTGCGGGCTCCGGAACTGCGGGCTCCGCGACTGCGGGCTCCGGGACCGTAGGCTGCAGGACCGGGACCGCTGGCAACACCTGTTCTACGGGCGAAGGCGGCTCGACGGAGGGGGTGAAGTCCGGAGGAGGCCATGAAAAATCAAGGGCCGCTGGTGCGGCCCCTTCTTCCCCATGGACCTCATCCTCGAGGAACGCCCGTACCGCGCGCGGAATCGGCGCCGGCAGAGCGTCCCCGTCTTCCTCCTCCTCCTCCGAAGAGTCTTCCTCACTTCCTAATAAAATTAAAACAATAAAATTAGCTATACTCAGATGGAAGGTGGAGAGCTGCTAGATTTGGTGAAAACTGTATAATTAACTTACCATAGAACAGATGTTCCATGATTTCGTGGTCCTGCAGCGGTCGGCGACGTCCCACCAATAAACTGCGCCTCGTGGCGCCTCGAGGCGTAGACGGTCCACTCCCCGCAGTACGAGAAGTGAGCCTCGACCGTGGCGTCGATGGCCCGCTCCCCGCAGCACGAGGAGTGGACGCGCCGCTACCACCGCACTCCAAATATCTATATTAAAGAAATTATAGATTTTATTACTGAATACACAAATAAAAAAGGTGTTTTTTTTTTAATCTCTATACTTACAGTGCCGGTGACGGCACCTGCACCTCAAGCTCCGGCTCAAGCTCCGGCTCCAGCTCCGGCTCCAGCTCCGGCTCCAGCTCCGGCTCCTCGGCAGGGGTGGGGCCCGGGACATCAGTTGGAATGTCACTGAAATTGAATATTGTATAAGAACAGAAAATAAACCTTATGTTGTCCTATATTCAAAGTTTAAAAAATATGTAATAATAATATTTAATAACTTACATTGGAACCGACGGCAGCCCAGCATCGTCAGTGCTCCACGCTCCCACATGCTCTCGGATGTTGGTCCTAAAACATAAATTAAATACGTTAAGTCAATACTAAAATGGACACATAATCATAAAAAAAGGGTTTCATTTAAATACATACACAGTTGCCGAGGGCAAAATTCTCCTCCGTTTGGGAGCGTGGAGCGGCCGCTCCAGGCCACTGCCTCGCGGCACCTCCCTGACATCCAGGCTGCTCATCCTAAAATGAAAATAACATTCGCATCAACTATTTGTTATCTATATAGGTATGACAATATTAAACAAAAATGCTGATAAATTAAAACTATTCTAAAATAATAATTTCAGTGACTTGAGTAAAATTATTCACTTTGCTTAGAATAATAATAAAATTAATCATTACATTGTACATTTTTAATTAAGACCATATTATAAGTGAATCAAGATAATAATAAAAACGCTTTATTGTGCACAACACACACAAAACAAAGTAAAGGGCGATAATTACGGTTCCAAAACAGATGGCCGGCCTGTGCCACTAGCACCGGCACCGCCACGTACGCCGCCCCCGCGTGTGCGTACGCCGCCCCCGCGTGTGCGTACGCCACCTCGCGTACGACCTCCTCTCATTGCGCTATAATAACATGCAAAAAAAAACAAATGAGCAAAGCAAACTCAAAAACAAATATTAAACATACATACACTCGAAAAACATAACCCTCCTTCTGGCGCAGTCGGGTAAAAAACAAAAAATGTAAGTAAAAAGAAATTGGCATGAAACCAAAAAAAATTTAATGGATTCAGACAAAAACAAAAACAAGTTTGTGTGTCTCATGAAAGTTCCAGTACATTGAAATAAAAAATACCAATGACAGTTAAAAGTTTTTTTTTATTCATATTAATGTTAATAAAAATAAAAAGTCGACGTAAATACAATAAAATAAAAAGTCAATTTAATTTTAAGTCATAATAAAAAAGCCGACCAACGGCAACCCATGTTAGTCAACCGTCACCAAACAAACTTCAAACTAATGTCACGCCGTGTCTGTGGCCTTGGAGCATTTGCTCCACAAAAAACCGTTACACACTTTTATCGATATTTCTCACGTTTTACATCAGAATATGCCTCATGCTTACGTATTTAGCTAAAATGATAAATACCGCAACTAATAAAGGAAACATTTAGAGATTTGTAGTGATTTAGGTCACAAAAAAGTCACTGATTCGGAACTGACGTCGTTCATACCTAGGGTACTTTTGCATTCATCACAGATTTTTTCAATGAAAATTGCTAACAAACCTCACAAAGTAGATAAATAATTGAAATTTACTTACCGTTCCATGATTCAGCAACAGGTTTTATTTAAATTCGCACTGGGAGACCGGTTCGTGACGCCGAAAGAAACGAAATGGCGGAATGAAAATAGAGTAACTTTAATGACAGATAACTTTTTATTTTCCTTCGAGGCCCTAGCCAAGGCATATATCATTATACAGCCCGGTTCGTCAGGAACGTACTGTAGTAATCTTAATGCAATCGAAAAAAAAATGAGCGTGCTATGCCGCGAAATTTGAACTCATGTTTTCTGGATCATATGCTCCACGCCACAGACGGGGCCATTTTGACATTGNTACGCCGCCTCTGGTCACAGATATTAATAACAATAAAGTTAAATGCAAATCAAAATTTTAAATTAATAATGGTTAAATTGGTTAAGGCCAAGACCAATAATACTTTTCATTTATTTTAGCAGACAGATTTAGATCTTGGGATAGAATCAAGAAAATATAGGAAGCTCTAGTGAGCTTATCTTTTAAAAGATATTTCTTTCAGATTATTCATTAAATTATTGGAAGCAGTCTTTATACACTACATCTAACTGAAGCCTACTTCTGCTTCTTCTGTATTAGGATAACAACATTTCTTTGATAAACCAATAATTAATCAATTTAATGCCACATACAAAAACCAGTTGATGAAACAAAAATCACAGCATTCTGGACTGGACTAACCATTTCACATTTGATTTAATTCCAATGAATAAATAGGTACATACCTTCTGTTCCTCTTTTTATGTTTTCTGGAGGATTACAAGCCTTAAGGTACAACTTTCTATACTTCAGATCACTCTTTGATATGTATTCATTTTGTACGATTTTCTTAACTGATGTAGTTTCCTCGCCAACCGACATGTATTTGTACATAACTGAAATGAAAATACAATTCACTAAATCGCAGTTTTATGTTATAAATATCGATTAATAATACCGAAAAGCAGCGTACCTGTGATAAGAAAAAATATCCACAAACTCATACCAAGATAGCAATAAAAAGCTCTATGATGAAAAGAAAACTTCATAATTTCGGCTATGATTTTACTTTTATTGGCAAATATAGACATTTTTAAGGTTTATTTCACCATTTATCCTCTACCNCTGTTGATGTTTACATGACTATCAATCTTATCCCTTTGCATTTCGGCATATTTACACACATGGAAACTGCACTTCGAATATGAATAGACATAAATTGGTAATTTTAACAAAGATGAAAGGAAAAATCTTAAAATGTTACATGTAAATATTTTACTGAGCAAGAAAATATTTTCATGAATTTTTCTGTTTGTTTCCCAGATTCTCAGCCCAAATGTCAATGTCAGCTGTCATCAAACAGCAGGAAGATGTCAAAACTGGGAGTGTTCTCCATAGATTGAATTGCAAATCTATGGACCGACCACTTGAATAGATACCGCATGTCATGTGCATGCGAGCGTGCCATTTTGTAAAGTACTCTGAGCCCCGATTACGGTAACTTTTAACGTCTACAATTCAGACACGCTTCATCGATTCTGCGATACGATTGGTCAAAACAGCTGACGTACGCTGTTGAACGACCAATCGTATCGCAGAATCGAGAAGCGTGTCTGGATTGTAGACGTTAAAAGTTACCGTAATCGGGGCTCAGTATAGTACTTTTCACTATGGTTTAATTAACAAGACATTATGTTGTTTATGCTCTTTGTTATGTTGACACATTTTTGTTGATTGTTACGCACTGGACCCCGATTATAATTCCAAAATACTGAACTGTCCTATGCATGACATTGACAGTGGGGCGCCACCGTCAATACCGGAATCGCTGGTTCCATAGTGTACAGTGTCCCAAAAAGCTCGGACCGTGGTTGTAAAATAAAACACTGATCCAAGTAAAGTGAAGTATATTGAACCTTAATGTTTTAACTTAAATAGCCAGGAAAAAATCAAATGATATCGCGATTGAACGAAGCACATCGCCATCTAGCTACGCAATTTCAGAACCTATGACTTTTGACATTTTCCATTACTATTTTCTAAACTATGACAGACGCAATCTCAAACATAACCGCCCACCATGAACACCGTGCGGTGTTCATCATTAACATCAGTATCGCGTACATGAGACTTCGACAAAATACCTATAACTTAGTTATTAGTTAAGTTATAAAGTAGTGTACTTGATACCTGATTGGACTGTACGTTAAAATAACATTCGCTTGTATAAAAATATCAAAACAATTAAAATAACATAAGAAACAAAACATATTTGACACTTCAAATACTTAAAACATAACACACCTAATATATGCTATGCGAGACTTGTGCGAGTACAGTTGCTTATGACTTCAACAAATCATAATATTCAAAACNAAAATAAAATGTCCAGAGACATTAAAAAGGGATGTTAGAAGTATATTGTTGGAACATTTTGAAAGATAAATTATTATTATTATTAGATTTTCATAAGAATTATCTGAATCGATCATTTAAAAATACTTACTTTAAGTAAGGGCCGGTTTCCACCATTAAGGCGGAGCAGAGAGGAGAGGAGCGGAGCGGAGAGGAGCGGAGCGGAGCGGAGCGGAGCGGAGGGAAAATGTTTTGAATGCTATTACTGACATGAAAATTTGCATATTCGTAAATATTATTTCTTAGCAACATCTTAGAAAATTCAGATTAAAATAAAAACTGCCTAAGGCGCGAATGAGGGNGGAGAGGAGAGGAGCGGAGCGGAGAGGAGCGGAGGGAAAATGTTTTGAATGCTATTGCTGATATGAAAATTTGCATATTCGCAAAATTTATGCGAATATGAAAAGTAGATATTAAAATTTCTTAGCGACTTCTTAGAAACTTCAGATTTAAATAAAAATTACATAAGGCGGGAATTGAACTAATGACCTCTCGCTTACCGGGCTCATTAATAAAATCAAAAACCATTCTTATTATGTTTTATAGGCGGGAATCGAACCCATGACCGGTATACCAGTGTACCATAGTAGGTTAATAAAATCAAAATCCATTAAATTATTGCTTTATATTTATTCAAAGAAATAGTAATATCACAGGAAAAAAAATGTTATAAACAAATTCTTATAATAAAGGTTGTAATGTTATTTATTCAACATCTTATACAAAATTAAAAAATAAAGAAATACTGTATTCCTATATTTTTATAACATTCATAGATAATTATGATTTCATAACAATTACAAATTGCAAAAAATCAATGCTCAAACAAACAACATATAATATTCTCCTTAGATATTGTATCAAGAAATCAATGCTCAAACAAACAACATATAATGTTATTATTCTCCAAGGATATTATATCAAGAAATCAATGCTCATACAAACAACATACAATATTCTCCTTGGATATTGTATCAAGAAATCAATGCTCAAACAAAATAAAATACACGATAAAATACAATACGCAACACAATAAAATTAATGGTTTGACTTCCAGTTTGTACCGACTTCTTAAAAAAAAAAAAAAAAAAAAAAAAAAAAAAAAAAAAAAAAAAAAAAAAAAAAAAAAAAAAAAAAGTGCACTAAAACAAAAAAAACCTGCACTAAAAAGCAGAAAAACAATGGTTTTTAACAAACATGTGCACAGTATTTTGAAAATCACTTAGATCTCCAAGTAAACAAATGAAAACGACTGGTAAAAGTAAATAAGGCACGCAATAATAATAAGGCCGCAATAGGCAGTTCGATTTTTTCAAGTTATTAATAATTTTCATAAAATTCATTGCAAATTTGTTAGGGACCAAGGTAAGACCCTTCGAACAAAACAAATTATCAGAAATCGGATCACCAATCTTGACCCATGTTAAAAAAAAACAGTACATACAGGTGTACATACAACAAAAAAACCAGTACATACAATTGAAGTCGGTACAAAAANCATTCCTTCTACTAAAATCTGGCTGTAAATATCGGCTCCTAGAATCAAATCTATTTTATGAGGAGTGTGAAATTTGGGATCTGCTAATTTGAGTTGTGTCACGCTCTGACTCAGTTGAATCGTAACCTTCCGCTTCGGGATGACTGATGTCAGTTTCTTTAACACGTAAGCTTTAACTGGAATGACAAAAGTGGGATCAAGAGTCGATTGGAGCTTAAAGCTTACCAATGATTTCGAAACAGATTGAACTCTATCACCTACACCTGACACATTTACATTACATGACACTCGTTTTAGACCTAGTGATCGTGCTGCTGACTCCGAGATAAATGAAGCCTGAGAACCTTGGTCCAACAGAGACCTAAAAGTTAGCTTGCTTCCGGACTGCGATTCTACCTTAACACGTGCAGTGGCCAGAAGGACTTCACTTTGATGGCTGAAGTTACTAGGCAACGAAGTGGCTACAATAACTTCACTCTTGTCAACTGATGAGCTCTCAACATTTTGATCAATTGACTTGGGACTACTGACATGCAAAAGAGAATGATGCTTCCTTTTACAAACTCGGCATCTGGAAGTTTGACGGCAAGCAAATACGGAGTGACCAGAACACATACAATTATAACATAATCCGTTGGACTGAACAAAACTACGTCGTACGTCAACCTGTTCCTTTGCAAAATTTTTGCAATTGTATAACCTATGACTCTCTGAACAGAATGGACACGATATTTCAGCAGCGTGATGGACAGAAACGTTATTGCGGACTACATTATTTGGCTTTACTGATTGAGAAGGCAAAAACTCTAGCGACCGGAACCTATGTTCTAAAAAGTTCTTAAATTGGCTCATTGTAGGATGGTCGTCGGAAGTGCTTATTTCTGCCTCCCACAACTTGCGAGATTCTGGATCTAATTTTGCGCTAATCAAATAAATTACGATAACATCCCATGAATCTGTTTCTAAACCCAAATTCTTTAACCCGTTTAGGCAATCGCAAGTTGTATCTAATAAAGATTTAATTAACTCAGATGATTCGGAACTAACATTTGTCTGGCTAATCAAACGCTTTAATAAACAGTTGGCTAAATACTTTTTGTTGCTAAACCTTTTGTTCAACAGAGCCCAAGACTCAGTATAGTTTGCATCGGTAACAGGGATGTGACGCAAAAGCTGCTCTGCCTCTCCTGTTAAGTGGGCTTTAAGATAATGCAACTTGTGAACATTTTCCAGATTGTCATTCCTATGGACCAGTGACTCAAACAGATCTTTAAAAGTGGTCCACTCAGTGTATTTTCCACTGAAGGTGGGAATACTAATTTTGGGTAGCTTAACCTGTGGCATACTAACTAACGTACCAGACTGCGGGATAGGAGACTTACTGCTCGAGGCTACAGCAACAACTTGACTCAAGCTCTCTTTTAAGTTGGTCTTATAATCGCAGTAGAGCTCGTGTGTGGATTCGAAAACATCATCAGTAAAATAGCTAGAGCTCCTGTACTCGTCAGTCTCAATCTCTGAAATAATAGTTCGGTGCGTATCAGTAAACAATCTCCATTGTTCCTCTAATGTTTCCAGCCGTGTCTCTACGTAAGCTTGAGTAATTCGGGATTTAGGGGACTTTTTAAAGTTTACATGACCCTTGCTAATCGAAACCCTCACATCCTCCTGTAACTTAACTAAGGCTTCCATATTGACCTCTGAGGAGTGATCCATTGAGTGAAAAGACTTCTCTAAATCACTAGGCATGGAAATATTAAATGAACAGTTAATTACCAACAGAGATTAAGATCGCAATTAAATTAAAGTTAGCTAATTCCCTACAGTTAATTAAGAAATCATTAAAACACTTTGAAAATACCAAATCCAAAAAATTCTAAGTCCTGAGATGCAAAATTTTCTAAGTGTTTGAACAAAAACAGAACTTATAAAAAATCGGGCATAGGTTCCCACAACAATGTACAGTGTCCCAAAAAGCTCGGACCGTGGTTGTAAAATAAAACACTGATCCAAGTAAAGCGAAGTATATTGAACCTTAATGTTTTAACTTAAATAGCCAGGAAAAAATCAAATGATATCGCGATTGAACGAAGCACAACGCCATCTAGCTACGCAATTTCAGAACCTATGACTTTTGACATTTTCCATTACTATTTTCTAAACTATGACAGACGCAATCTCAAACACATAGAGTTATTAACCCAGGAGTGGAACTGACAGGCAATCCCCTCTAGCAATGTGAGTAGACCAGTGGTTCACTCAGTTTATAAAAACTAGTTGCAGCGCCACCAATGACATATTCCAAATGTCACTATTGATGAGTAACATGCTGAGACAAAAATGGTGAATTGCAGTGTATTTTATTGTAAAAAGAGATCTGAAACTTCAAATCTTGAAAAGGACAATAGGAATGAAAAAAAATAAATAAAATATGAATAAAATAAATAAAATAATATTTACTGATGGAAGGTAACTTCCATCAGTAAATATTATTTTGTTTATTTTACATTAATTAATACACTAATTTTGCAAAAAACTAAATTTCAAGAAGTGTTGCCACTGGAAAGCACAAATTCCTAATTTTGTAATATTTTTAAGAATAGTGTACTTACGAATATATTCGAAATTCTATGTTAAAAATTTGATACTGCCTACCTATTGGCAGGAAGTAAGTATTTGGAAAAGAAAGTTTTTTTTTACTAGCTTTCCGCCCGCGGCTTCGCCCGCGTGGAATTTTGTCTGTCACAGAAAAACTTTATCGCGCGCGTCCCTGTTTCAAAAACCGGGATAAAAACTATCCTATGTTCTTTCCCGGGACTCAAACTATCTCTATGCCAAATTTCATCAAAATCGGTTGCGAGGTTTAAGCGGGAAAGCGTAACAGACAGACAGACAGACAGACAGACAGAGTTACTTTCGCATTTATAATATTAGTTGGGATTGGTCACATCATCATAACGTGATCAATTTTACGATTTGGCCACGATATAAATGAATATTAGTGTTAAATTTGACTTATTACTTATTAATCAATAAACTTAAATGAGAAAAATTCAATAAAAATAAAGAAAAGATACCAATTGAAATAATTATAAAATTTTTCGTTTTCACCCGGTGTAAACACCCACGGGTGGAATGAAACGGGTTTTTATTGGGTTTTTACCCTCATGTGGGTTTTTACCCGGGTGGAAACCCATCTCTAACTGTGGTCTGTACTAGTGTAATTATTTAAACGTCGCAATTATAAAAACCAGTCATAGCGGTGACAGTTTAAGAACTAAAAATGATGATATCTTCGAAAATATGCATTTTGGGACACTTGATTCTTGGACATTATAAATTATTTTTATGTACAGAATAAACCCTTAAAGTAATGGGATATCAAAAGGTTACACGCTGTATAAATATTAGGTACCTATTTCATGGGTAGTAGGGTAATGGTGGTAGGGTTAATACTGGGACGTTTTAAATTGCTTTTTAAAAGCCCTACTTGCATAAATAAATGGCTTGTTAGTTTTTTTTTCATGTAACTCATAAACTTCACAATTCGTATTGGTGCTAAGGAAGAAATGCCAAACTTCTGCGTATTTTCCTGTAAATAGAGATCTGAAACATTGAATCTTCCTTATGATTATGATAATACATTTAATTCATATTATTTAAAACAAAAACCATAGACTATGAACCATAGAGCAATGATTCTCATCGACAAAAATATCGATAGTGTCCCAGCGCCATCAGCTGTTACACAAATGTCATTACCTCGTCCCCCTCAGGAAATGGCGAAATTTTTTGTATAGAAATAAACGCGCGCTGCTACTCCTGGTTGGTTAATAACTCTATGGCTGGTTCCGATTTTTGGCATGTTAGAAACCTTAGAGTTGAACGATGGTAGCGCCCCCCTGTCATTGAGTTTGGTGGGACAGTTCAGCGTGGGTCATCTATACCCTAAAAATTTTCATCTTCAACGTGCCCGAACGTCAGCTGTTTTGACAAATCCATATCGCAGAACCGAAGAAGCGCGTCTGTATTAGAGAGAGACGTTATAAATTACCGTAATCGGGGCCCTGGAGATACGGCTTTATAGTATGCCCGGCCCATCCATAGATGTACAAGTCAATGAGGCAGTCACCTGTCAAAATCAAGTGTCAAATAGTGTTGTCAAAAAAAAAAACCCAAACAAAATCTTGTTTGAACCACGGGGTGGAAACGCCATAGAGTTTGACAGCTCCATAGAGAGTGAATTTTTTTGACAGTTCCGAGAGGAAGTGACTTTTTTTATAGTTGTCCTTTGTATCATATGCGACAATGCGACAATGGTCTTTTGCGTGTCTGGAATCAAGTTAGTAAACATTTTCGAATTACAACTCAACTTTTATTTATAAATTATTTTATTGAATCTATTTGCATTCTATAAATGAAATTATTATTTAAAAGTATATTAATACAAATGCGTAATTTTCACTTTAATCACTTTAGTTCCGTCTCAAGTCTACAACTGTGACATTTAAAAAAAAAAAATTATTGCTCAATCATTATATTCATTATTCATTAATAAGAACTACATGTGCATGGATTGCCTGTTGGATTGATGTTTGTTTAAGAAGATATTTCTCTAAAGTAAGACTCGAGAAAGGTTATTGCAGCTTGCAGCAACATCATGTTTTATCAAGTATTGAACCACACAAAGGATTAAATCTTCATTACAATATCATTCATAACTCCATTCTAATCAATGGAAACTAAATGTGGATCGTTTCATGGAGTAACAACATACTTTGGAGTTTGGACCCAAAATACAATACACGTAGGTACATTGCAGGCATAGATTGGAGGACACAGTGAATGATACGTGTTTTATACAGTGAATCTAAGTACCTATTTGTTTCAGGTTAATATCGAACTTCTAAGGTGTTAAGCTGCAATTACAATAAAAGTGCTTGCTATGGAATCACCGGTGCTGAAAGAAAGAAAGAAAAAATATTTATTTGGTACAAAATGATACATAACCTTTACTTCCTATTCAAATAACTTTAGAAGAAACCTATTTAAGCAATACAACCAGACCAAGAATGCTTGATTCAAACGATGAACTCATTTCATTTGCAGGTTATGCCGTGACATAAATGCATTAAATTAGGAAGATTTGTATTGGATGAATTACCCAGATAACAATTAAAACAACTTCTGTTGATAAGAACATTTGGTAAGTACCTTTAAAATTTAAAACACCCTCAAAATGATTCTAACTTTATTGATATCAAATAGAAAGACCTAAAAGTTAATTATTTAATTACAGATTGGTGGAATCCAGATTCTGTGAATGTACATGTAATTGATTGAGAAATGCACATTTGACAAGGTAAATTAATTTTATTTAACAAAGTAGTGCAAATCTAGAAACAAAACAGACAGTAGTTTATCGGCTGTACTCTATAATATTAGTGTAGAATGTTGGAGATTACAGTCTTACGGTGACATGTGCATCTTTTTGCTCTAAATTTACAAATATTTCATATATTTTACAGGTGGTGAGAAACGTGTAGGTCTGGCCTGCTAACAGTGGCTATTGGATTGGACAGAACCAAAGTGAGAGTGAACGTGTGAATTTATGGAGAACATTAAACTATTTTACTATAAGTCATAATAACGCAACTTATTTTGTATGAGTTACATACAAATGTCATTACATTATGTAAAAACTAAAACAATGTACTNCGAACTTATAAGGTGTTAAGCTGCAATTACAATAAAAGTGCTTGCTATGGAATCACCGGTGCTGAAAGAAAGAAAGAAAAAATATTTATTTGGTACAAAATGATACATAACCTTTACTTCCTATTCAAATAACTTTAGAAGAAACCTATTTAAGCAATACAACCAGACCAAGAATGCTTGATTCAAACGATGAACTCATTTCATTTGCAGGTTATGCCGTGACATAAATGCATTAAATTAGGAAGATTTGTATTGGATGAATTACCCAGATAACAATTAAAACAACTTCTGTTGATAAGAACATTTGGTAAGTACCTTTAAAATTTAAAACACCCTCAAAATGATTCTAACTTTATTGATATCAAATAGAAAGACCTAAAAGTTAATTATTTAATTACAGATTGGTGGAATCCAGATTCTGTGAATGTACATGTAATTGATTGAGAAATGCACATTTGACAAGGTAAATTAATTTTATTTAACAAAGTAGTGCAAATCTAGAAACAAAACAGACAGTAGTTTATCGGCTGTACTCTATAATATTAGTGTAGAATGTTGGAGATTACAGTCTTACGGTGACATGTGCATCTTTTTGCTCTAAATTTACAAATATTTCATATATTTTACAGGTGGTGAGAAACGTGTAGGTCTGGCCTGCTAACAGTGGCTATTGGATTGGACAGAACCAAAGTGAGAGTGAACGTGTGAATTTATGGAGAACATTAAACTATTTTACTATAAGTCATAATAACGCAACTTATTTTGTATGAGTTACATACAAATGTCATTACATTATGTAAAAACTAAAACAATGTACTGTAATCACAATAGTAACTGTAATTTTTTAAAATAAAATAGTTTTAATGCTTGTTGATTTTCGTAAACAAAATATTTCATGTTATATTTCATCAATAAAGTTTCATTTGATACTTCAATAGTTTTATTTTTAACCGCAATACATGAAAAGGAATGGATCATAAAAAAGTATGACAGGTTTATTTAATCTGTGGGCGTCAGACGCCATATTGTATTCAGCGCCACCTACTGGACAATCTAGCTCGGTACCAGTTTGTTTATCGTTCAACCAATACTAGGGCCGTTTCCTATCTGTCTTTAGACATACTCTCTAATCTGTGGTTTGAACTTGCTTTGGTTTCATCGTTAATCGCAATTTCACAATATTTATTAATTATTTCGTTTTTGGTAACCAAACCAAGGAGCAATAAAGAGATCATAAACGACAGTTTTAGAAACCTAAAGTGCATACAATAGTTTCAAGCACTATGCCGCCAAAAGTGGATCAAGCTGCAATCGTCATCCTGGATATTGGAAGAAACGTTTCTACTGCAGATGAGAAGGGCAAGAAAAGCTTCTTCGAACAAGCTAGGGAATGCGTCAGCCGTGTCATAGAGCGTAAGATAATGAGCCAAGGCAAAAGCCTCATTGGAGTTATGTTATTGGGTTCCAAGAAGACACAGAATAATATGGCAGAGCAGTGCGATGGTGCCTTCCGCCACATCGAGTTTTTGGCAGAACTGCAGTCTCCTACATGGAAATTGATTCGTGATTTACCAGAGCAGGTAAGGCTACTTCTAGAAAGTTAGACCTTATAACTGAACTCATTAAATTTCTCGAATTTTAACTAATAAAAACTGTTTTAGCCCTCCAAAAGCAGAGGTGACTGGATGGATGCACTTATTGTAGCGGCTGATCATTTCAAGAATGGTTTAGGTTCAGTGAAAGCGGATAGCAAGAAAATCATATTGATGACTAACTTCATGTCCCCTACATGCCTGGATGAGAATGACATTGAGAAGGTAACTTTAAGTTATTATTCGAGTATAATATAACAATACATATTTTTCAAAATGTTGCTTGATTTATGATGAATCCATATTTTTACAGGTACTAACTGGATTCAAAGAAGAAGAATTTGAACTAGATGTCATAGGCCTAGACATATTTGAGGAGCATCTAAAAAGTGAAGACATTCAACTGGCACGTAAATTTGTGGAAGCTACTAATGGTGCCTCAGCTTCATTCGAATATGCTATGCAGTATCTCCTATATCACAAGAAAAGAGCTGTCAATGTTCGTCCATGGAATGTCGATCTAAGCATTGGCCCCAATATCAAAATACCTGTATCTACATACATAAGACTCAAAGATGAGCCACCCGTGAAGACTTGGTTGAAGGCAGTGAAGGATCCTGTGACCTTAACTGCTAGTTCCAGAGAAGGCATCATGTCTAGCCGGGTGCACATCAATACTGACAATCAAGAAGTGGTTGAAGCTGATTCTGTTATAAAAGGCTACCACTACGGCCAACAAATAATACCATTCGCTGAGTGTGACAAATCACTGCTCTATGAATCAGGTGAAAAATCCTTAAACCTGTATGGATTTACAAATGCTGATAATATAAACTGGCAGAGTTTGACTGGTGATGGTCTACAATACATTTTTGGCAGGAAAGGTGATAAAAAAGCCAAACTTGCAGTGAGGTGTCTCACTGAATGCCTACATGAATTGAGCTTAGTGGGCATTGTACGTAGGGTTTATAATAGAGGAAATGCCCCAAAAATGTTTGCAATAATGCCTGTTATTGACACCAACGATTATATCTGTCTGTCAATGATACCAATCTGCTACAAAGAAGATATAAAGTACATGACATTCCCATCAACAAATCTGAAAAGATATGAATGCTCTAAAGAACAAGTGGATGCTTTTAAAGACCTAATCAAGGCCATGGATTTAATGAAAGCATATGATGATAGTTATGAGGACACTGAAGCTTTTCCCATAGCTGAGACCGTGAGTCCATCAGTGCAGTATATCCTTGACTGCATAGCTTTTAGAGCTATGAACCCGGGCAAACCTCTGCCTGAACCTAGAGATGAAATCATGATGTTGTTCAAGAGACCACCAATGGTGGAAAAAAGATCAAAGGAACCACTTGAAAAGATAAAGAATTTATTCACTTTGACTAAAGTTGAAGTTAAAACAAGAGACAGAAAGAAACCTGATCAGCAAGTTGGTGCATATGTGGACAATCAGACTGCAGATATCAAACCAGACAACCAAATAAATGATGTTGACATGCCTTCAATAAAACTTCCTGTGACTAAGAAAGATAATACAGTTACCAAGGTTGGGACAGTAGATCCAGTAAACGACTTCAAAGTTCTCATTGAGAATCGTAAACCATTGGTAGATATTTCTATAAGCATGACAGAAGCTATCAAGAATCTGGTGTACTGCAATTTTGATGGAATTTATACTAAAGCTCTGTCTGCAATGAAAGCCTTTAGAGAAGAATGTGTGAAATCTGATCCTACTCCTTACAATAATTGGATAAAAAAATTCAAATTAGAACTTGGGGACCGTAATAAGGATGAACTAATAAACCTCATAACAGAAAATCAATTGAATTTCATCTTGAAAGAAGAGAACAATTCCAGTACCTATGAAAATGCAGATGGTGATGAAAGCCAGTTGTATGAGACTGACACAGTACCTGATGCCACAGAGTTGACTATGAACACAGAAATGAATGACTTCTTCAATGACATGTAAAAAAACATCCTGTAACTTTTCTTAATGTGATATTGTATTATGTTGTTATTTTCATCAAAGTTGTAAAACTAGTTTAAAGATTATTTTTGTAATAAAAAACTTAATAGGCCTGAAATGTTTTAATTCACAATATCCTTTATAATCTAATCTCGAATTTGCACACAATAAATTCATGTAAAGTTTTATCTTAACAACTAAATAATAAATCTGTGAGCAATCATTGCACACCACTTGGGCTAAGTTTGTTTTGCGAGTGCAGTAGTTCAAGGAATTCTTGAAGTGATAAGTCCTCCTGGCAATCTGTGTCCAAGTCGTGTTCCAGTTGAGCCTCCATCGAGTTAGCTTCAGGACTTAGTACGATATTTTCATCCAAAACAACGTGATTGAGGCGGGATTTCAAACTTTGAAGAATCTCCTCCAATTCTAAGCACTTATTCCGGATCGAAGTACCAAGATCCGACTGCGGGTCAATATCGTCAATAGTAGCGTTCTCCGAGAAAGAGTTAGCTGGTGTTCGCGTCCGCGGAGGCTGTATCATGCTGAACAAGTTAGCTGGTGTTCCGTTGCCATTCCTGGCGGTGTCTGGAGAAATTGAGTCCGTAAATTCAGCGAGAATTTCATCGAGGATGTCTTCGGCGTTTTGTCGCGGGTCCACCACTTCTTCTGGCGTATCAGCACCACTTTCGTTGTTTATCATCTTGTTATTTGAATCTAACTTCATGATTACTGTTGTATTCTTCTCAAAATACCGACACTATCAAAATAAATAAAAGAATCGTACACAAGAAATCCAGTCAGATGATTGATATTATTTTTTAGTGTTGCCACTTCAAAAAATACAATTTAATATCGATTCTCACAGGAATCGAATGAATATCTGGGAATAGATATATTTAATTTAATCCTGTTTGATAAGTAAATTGAACCTGCTTCATATTGATCAATAGGAGACACAGCAAAAAGCTAGAACGGATTATGATATTCTAGGGATGATTGAGTAGTTTTACACTGAACCAGAACTAAAATATTACTTAGGGCCCATGCACACTACGTCTTTTTCGATGATTTGCTATAATCGTCGAGAAAAACCCCGGAATATTTTGATTAAAATCCTGCTAGAATCCAGGCCTTGTCTTTGACTAATCTAAAACATAGCACAATAGGCTGCATTTCAATAAAACACGTAATAATAATCAAAATAAAGATGTAATAATAATTCAATTATTGCAAAAGCGTCTTTGAGGAAAATACAAATCGAGGTATGCTTCTTTGCGAAGTTTTTTCTCAATTTCTTCGATTTTCATTATCTTGAGGGCGGCCTTGCAGCTGTTATGAGCGTGCGCGAAGAAACAGTCACGAACAGACTGTAAACAAAGGCAATTTTAAAACCTAAAGGTACATAAAAATGATTATTTTCACATTTTCGCTTCATCTTATTTATCATGAGGGTTTAAAACAACTCGAGGCCACAACCAACATCAGAGAACTTGTTACCATTTATCATAGACGCCTTCACCCTTACAGGGACTAGGGTACGACGCCTCATAGTTATTCTGCGCCAATACTCTGTACTTATTCATAAATAGATGGCTCAAGACAGGAGAGGTACAAATGCCTTATTAAGATTTCAGAAAACCATAATTATCTTACCTTAAACTCCGCCAATTTCGCCCCTTGGAACTTAGCTAAACAGTGCGTGAATAGCTCCGTGTAGTGATTCCGGCAGAGGAAGATTCTGTTCTCAAACTGCCAGTAGTCGCCCTGTGCAGAACAGGAGCACCCGCAATAGCCGCAAGCGTCCAGATTGTAAGGGACGCATTTTATCTGCATAAAAAAGCCATTTGAAGTGAACTAATCTTACTTAAATTTTTTAATCAATACATTACTTAAGTTTTGTTTACCAATAACATTAAAATAAATTTCAAATCTCACCTCAACAGCGCATCGTAAAACCTTTTTGCCTTGGAAACTGTAAGCGAATTTCATTTGCCTCTTCTTATATTCTGGACAATAATCACACGCTCTGGAAGGAAAAATATAACGATGAAAATATATAAGTAGTCCATTTTTATTCAATTTGAAGTGTTCTTCACGATTTCTCGCGTGATCCAAGGCACATATCGAACGCCTAAAGACCTACTACTGTCATAAGGGTATTTCGCCAAAAATGGTCAATTTTGCCTAATTTCCTTGGCACGAATTTTATTTTTGTTTTAACATGTTTCAAGGGTGAGAAACAAATCACTTACGCTGGATAATCACTAGCCACAAACAATGGTTTTCTCTTGCCAGTCTGATTGAAGGGTGCACAGTTTTGACGAAGTGGTTTCTTTTTAGGCGGTGGTCGAGCCGGAGGTTGGTGCTCATGCCGCATTTTCCATCGCGATTCCTTTGCTCCTAGACCATATTTGCTGTATATCTAGAGGATTTAAACAAAGTTCCTAGAGTTAATACATAATTCCAGTAGTTGGAAAGATAGTTACGTAGGTGTGGTTTCTGGTTTACCCTATGCGTAAGGTCATAAAACGCATCGCGGTCACAATCATAGCTTCCAGGCCCCAGGTTTGGGCGCGTTTCTCCCGCAAGACGCCTCATAAACGGACTCATAGCGGGTCCTTTCGTCGGGAGCACCTCCCGGCTCAGTCCTGTGCCGAAACATATTCGCGGCTGGGCTTTCTTTGTTACTACATACTCGAAGTCTGAAACAATTTAATTCAATTTGATTTTTACGAAGACTGACCTTCTTTTAGAACTGTTTTCATCGGTGTAGTAAATAATTACTCGTACAGTTGACATCTAATACACAAACCCAATCAAATATTGTGTATATCCGAAGCTCTCTCTACTTGATCTACCTTTAATAGGTAGGTATACTTACATAGACATAGAGATCTTAATGTTAACAATTACGAATAAAGGAACAAATTCCGATTCACCACGCCGAAGGTTAGAGTACCGACCTACTAAGGCAACTTAACTTTTTATTTATCCATCGGCGAATCCAAACTTGTAACAACTTTGCAAGCTGACCGGAAAAACGAACCACTGGACAAAACCTCGTTACATTTGCTTAAGATCCTTAATACTCTCCATCTTAAGTCTACTCCAAGAGGTGCCACCTAAATCTAATTTTAAGACCGTTATCAATAACATTGGATAAATCTTTCAACTGCTTTGTGGAGGAGGAGGAAAAGAGACTAAACTAGTGACTCGTATTTACCGCCATGAGAGGCCTCGTGCATGTTGTTGGGCCGGAGGTATCGGCGCCGGTACGGGCGCTGCATGGCTGATCACCAGCGGACTGGCATCGCGAGCGGCCGCCGCAATAAAAAATATGACGAATGCCACCATTACGCTTTATTGGGGCGCACGGGCGGCGCCATCGGGGGTGCACGAGTTAAGGTTTTTTATAGAACGTCTGCTTTTTTCAAATTGTTTTCCCTAAACTTTAGGCCTCGCTTGAGGATATAGCCTAAGCATGTTGAATGTGAAAACTAAAAACTGTACAGCATCATAACTGAAATAATATATAAAGGATAAGTTGGAATCACAAAACTGTTACTGGACCAAATTACCTCTATTCCTATAGGTGCTAACTCTTTGCTTACCTTGTAAATAATTAAGTAGGTTTAGTGCCTAGATAGGTACAATCTGAGGACTAGCCTATTTTTGCAACAGTGGGTCAACAACACTGGCAAAATTGAAGACAAAAAAATCTTGTCCTCACTTTGATAAAAATGCTTGGACCCTCTAGCCAACCAATGTTGGGGTGGGTTTACTCAGATTATACAAGAGCTGGAAAAATATCGAAGGTCATTTTGTCGTTTTCGTTGGAACAATGAGTAATGGAAAACCTTACCTAACGTGACGTCCCAGGTCATCTTGATTGAGTAGAATTATTTCATTACAACAAAAACTTCTATCAATGCTAAGTATATCGATGAATAGAATATCAAATTGAAACACCATTCTGAAAATGAGTAAATTAAGTTTATACCTATTAACTACAGACTATCTAGTTATTGGAAGGTAGGTACTCTGTAGTCAGGTCAGGGACAAACTTAGTAAATGTTGTTACATAGGGGATAGGGGTTATTGATGATAACAATTCTTCAATGAGCAGCTGCTAGTATAATATAATCCTATCAAAAACAATACTTGTCAAAAAAACCAAGTCTCGCAACTCAGTTGTTCTACGGTAAAAAGTTGTGAGATCCATGTAATACCAAGTCCAGGCCAGGAAATCTTTAACGTTTTACATAAATTATTGACTTGGCCATCGCACTAAATAATTTAATTTACACGTGTTTTCATGCGATGGCCAAGTCAATATATTTATGTAAAACGTTAAAGATTTCCTGGCCTGGACTTGGTATTACATGGATCTCACAACTTTTTACCGTAGAACAACTGAGTTGCGAGACTTGGTTTTTTTGACAAGTATTGTTTTTGATGGGATCTCATTTCTTTTTGTATTTTCTAGACAGCAGTTATGTATCTAGAAAACTGGACCGAAATTGAAAAATTTTACTCGACTTGGCGGTTGCACTACCGTGCCCCCAAATATTTTAGTTTTTCCTTGATTCACACACCAAACACTACTTATATTCCAAATTTGAAGCTTCTAGGTCTGCTAGAAGTGGCTTAGAGTTTTGATGATCGGTGAGTCAGTGAGTGACAAAATTAAGTAACTTTGACCCGTTATAATTCTTAAACTGCGGGTTCAAATTGAATGAAATTTTAAATATACCGTGTCTTTACAATGCCTGCATAGCTAATGAAAATTCAGCCTTCTAGTTTTATCCACAACGAAGTTACAGGCAGTCGAAAATGGCCTGAATTGCTTCGAGAAAAAGATGGTACGGCCGTGCCGCTTTTTTGCTCGACTAGGTATAGGTAGATACACCGTACGTATCTCATGTGGTTATAAAAATGATGTATAATACCTATCTAAGTTTCCTTCGTTTTCTAAGTACCTACCTACAAACTCCTGGGAAACGACAATGTGTATTCGGGAAAACTGTGTTATTACGGAACTTTGACGGATTAGCTGCACGCGATGTGAAAGTACCTAGTTCATTTTCTAAAATAAAGTTAATAAGGAAAATTATTGAAAGCAAGTAAGTAGTTCATTTTCTAAGTACTTTACATACAATTAATTTCAAAAATAAAGTTACCTATTAAGGAAAATATGTTTATGGTGTGAAAGTGTAAGGGTGCCTTCACACAGTTCTAAATAGTAACACAGCACAGCAATGATAATGTTTTTTCCGAGTTCATTTTAAATACCTATAATTTTGAAAAAGCGTGATTTAATTAAAGCAACAATATTTTATTAGGATAAAGCTCATTGAATGTTGCTAGATTATGTTAAGAACCCCTAGTACCTATGAGCCTAACTTGGCTACGTACGAGGTAGGTAGGAATATCCGATATCTCCTAGGCCTAGGGGCTATATTATAGGGCGTGTGTTAAAAAGACGGTTTCTAGTTTCTACCCGGTCCGGTTTGTTGGCTTGATCCGGCTCGATTCCGTGTACTTGCATCGTGTCTACACCCAGACCAGACCGGTCTACCGGATAGAAACCGGCCGGCTCGTCAACACACGCCCCTCAGGTAGAATATTACCTCCATTTCTATTATTTACTCCGTTAGCTAATTCATTACAGGGGGTTTAAGTGGTACGTACCTAATATAACATATCCGATAAGTTTAATTTCTTCATTTCAGCACACAAAATTGCAAATAATTTCAAAGCTCAACAGTTTGACAAAGTCTGTTTTTTTTACTTTTAAATTGCAGCAGATATGAATTTTAGTGCTCGGGAATAAAATCGATTAAAATAAATCGATTTCGTAAAGAACTCAACTAATCGTTCAAATAACGCATTTTTGTTTGAACAAATCGGTAAAATATGCTCAGTGTTTTCTTACGTCAAAAAAACGAGTTACGAACGAAACGTAAAACTTCAAAAAATTTATAAATTGTGCCGAAATTTTTAACCGTGACAGTAGTCTGGGGTTTAAATTTAATTGCGACTGCATGTATGTATGGATATTGTTGAAAAATCCTGAAACGACCTCTGAGCGTTGCAGTAAATTTGAACATTGGTCACCTTGGTGCATGTAACAGGTATCATATTACTTTGCTGTACAATTTTTGTGCTTGTTATTATGTCATAGCTGCTAATAGATCAGCAAAAGATAAATAAAGGCATGGTCTACCATAAGTAGACCACATCTCTTGTAATAATTTTGTTGATACATGAAAGAGCAAAGTGCACTGTCTTTGTCAAATTTTCTAATTCATTAAAGTAATATAACCTGATTAGTTTTGATAACTACTTTATTGACTTTATATTCTCTGATATTCGTGTAAAACTGACCACAAATCTTACTAAACATAATGTTTTAGAATTTTGTTTTAACCCTCATACAATAATAATTATTTGTATTTTTTCAGATAAAATGTCTTTTAATTCAAGAATATTGCTTCCTGTTGCTCTGGGCATGTCCCTGGTCTCTGTGACTGCCTTCGTCGTATATTATGTGTTTAAAAAAGATGAAGAGGAGAAGAATGAAAATCTGGTCAAGACTTCACGGATCAATGTCATAGAAATAAATATTCCTAAGAGCATTGTTCCAGCTTTGATTGGTGAGAATTGTTTTGTTCTATCTATATATATAAAAATGAAACCCGTTTCGCGTTGTCACGGCATCACGTGTGAACGGCTGAACCGATTTCGATAATTCTTTTTTTTAAATGTTTGTGGAAGTCCAAGGATGGTTCTTACGGAAAAAAATATTAAGAAAATCTCTACGCTAAGGCGGTACGAAGTTCGCCGGGTCAGCTAGTTATTTTAATGAAACAGTATAAAATGTTGTATTTTTAAAACAATATTTTCTGCAATGGAAATGATAATATATTGGCATAAACAATGCTAGGTGCTTTTGTTTGTTTAATTAAATTAGTAGAATTTGAATATAAGCTATCAATGCTATAATAAATGCACTGAAGATGGCAATTTATGACATAATTAACTATAACTATTAAAAATTTTAAAGTTCAAAATCATGTCTTTAAGCACAACAAGTATAATTTTTTATTGGTCTCAAGTATTTGGGTATTAATATATTTATCATACAATAATTTGTAAGTTTGTCCTTCTCACAAGTGATTACATTAGATATACTTTTGTGTGTTTACTGCCACATTTTGTCACTAATGTATTTTTGGCAGTCCTTAAAGCCATATTTTGTTGCATAATCAATGAGCCACTATATCTTTTAAGATGTTATTAGAATAAATTCATGATGTCATGTGTCTGACTCATTTCTGTAATGATGTTGTATGTAATTTGGTTGAAGATTATGTTGCATTATGTTTTTCTTCATGTCACTCATTGATTTATTGAATGGATTCTTTTTGTAGGATTTGAGTCTAAAAGACATAAAAATTTGGGTCATATAATTCTCTTACAGTGTTTGTTAGGTTTATTATTCTATACATCCAGTAAAAAACCTTTTACTTTTAAGATTTACAAGTATAAATGTACAACATAATAAATAAAAGACCTTGAATCTGATATTTCATGTGTAATAGATATTTTTGTTTGTGTCTTCAATGAACCATATCTCTCTCTCGAGCAGAACATGATTATGTTTCAAAATTCAAAGAGTATGTACAAAAAATTATTTCCTTAATCTTAATTGTCTAAAGGCCATAGTAGCTTTACGAATTCTTTAGCATTTGACGAGTGAGTAGCATTTGACGGCACAGCGTTCTTCATGTATATTGACCGCTGTGACTGTACCCAGAGGCCTAGGGAGCTATGCGAAGAATACATAGTTTTTCAGGTTTTATATGTGTGGTTTGATTGATGCATCTAGCTATCGAATAGAAACTAAATCAATGTTCATAGATGTTAAAAGAAGTACATTTAATTTTGTAAACCTTCAGAATGTTTTTAAGTTAGTTAATAACAACAAAACTTATTACAGGGCGCAGCGGTTCGAATATAAAAGAAATAGAGCGCAAGTCTGGAGCGCTCATCCACTTCAAGAAGTTCAGCGACAAAGATTATGACGTGTGCATCGTTCGGGGCCGAAGCGAAGCTAGTCAGCTGGCTGAGACGCTGATACACGACTTTATAAAGGAGCAGCCGTTGATCGTTGACGATAGAATTGAAGTGCCTGGCTGGGCTTGTGGCAGGATTATTGGTAAGCAAGCAAATACTGAAATTGTAACTAAGATGCTTAGACTTTATTAATCTAAGCTAAGATGTGACAGTAAAAGCTGTTGCTGGTTTTATTAATTAATTTATATCTTCTACCGAATGCAATGCGACGCGACACGAGCCGGGCTAGGATGCACACCGTGATAAAATCTTACCGATGATTTTAGACGTCAAAATGTATGGGCTAATCGCGTACAATCGATAAAGTGGCGCGTTAAACGCTTATCGCGGTGCGCATCCTAGGCATATAAGGAAAAAGAAGAGATAAAAATAGCTTCTGAACATACTGTAGCTTAGTGGTAATGCGTAGCGTGGAGTCGCGTCGTGTAGCGTGACGTCACGTCCTGTAGCGTGACGTCGCGTCCTGTAGAGTGGTGTCGCTTAAGGGGGCGTCCATTAATTACGTGAGACTTTTAGGGGAGGGAGGGGGTCCAGAAAAACCTCACTTAATCTCACGTGGGGGAGAGGGGGGG